GCGTGGCACTTGTTTCTAATAGCAAACATTGTTACTACTAGTAAGGCGCCTGTTACTACTAGCGTGGCACTTGTTTCTAATAGCAAACATTGTTACTACTAGTAAGGCACTTGGTACTAGAAGCGATGCACTTGTTCCTAATAGCATTCTTGTTCCTAGTAGTGCCCTTGTTATGAGTGTGAGGAGTTACCTAGCAATGGCCTCCAAGCTAGTAGCGAACCTTGTTCCGTTCGTAGCGATGCCCGAAATGCTCCTAGTAGCTTCTTAGTTACTACAGGTCGTGATGATCAGTCGTCAGTTCAGTGGTCATTGAAACAAAGTTGATAGAAATCTGGAATTTGGCATTTTGCGAACCACCTTCGGTGGTCAAAGCAACTACCTGGCACGAAGATGCGCCTCAGGTGACAGGTGCGCCAGCAGAGGCCTTTGTCCAGTTGGCCTTCCGGACTGAGGACGAAGATGGACGAAGTCACAAAGCCAAAAATTGATGCCTTTTGGATCCTCTTTTTGAACGCCCCTCCTACTTGATAGTTACTGCAAGTAAGGGAGTAAGCTACAAGGCTAAGTTAGCTTCTAGGTACGACGCCGGATAGCTCACGCTTCTTCAAGGAAGCTCCCTTGCTGAGGGCGGGGGGCAGCTTCCTTGAAGAAGCGCTCGCACTAATGGGAATGGCCTCCAACCTACTAGCGATGGCCTCCACCTAATAGGAATGGCCTCCAACCTAGAAGCGATTTGGATCCTAGATGTTGAGGGAAACTTAATTTCGATGCCTTTTGCATCCTTTTTTGGGGAGGGCACCACTCAGTGTGCCTAGTGGACGTTTCGTCGCAATTTTGGTCCAGAATGGTCCTATCAGGAGGGATTGGACTTCAAGAGGAACATTCAGTGGAGCTCTACTGAAGCCCAGTTGCATTGAAAGTGCGGAGTGTTTGGAGGCATGAACTAACTTAAACACTATAGTTGGGGTATGTGGTGTAATGATTTTGGTTTCACAACTCGCAGGCGAGTTTCTACGTTTGTTTCCCATCTCACTGTACAAGCTCCTGGGCCCAATGTCGATCAAGAGCAGCAAGAATCCCACGCAAGAGTGTCAAGCAACCCTAGCGATGGCCTCCAACCTAATTGCAATGGCCTCCTACCTACTAGTGTGAAGCAACATTGTCCCACAGGAGCATCCGGGAAGAGGATTGTGCAAGAGTGTCGTACAAGATGTCACACAGGCGCTTTGCATTCGGTTGGGGGTTGAACGTCCTTTGTCACTAATCACTAACTATAGTCTATAGTCTATTGATGGTGGATGGTGCAGATCCATTTCTTCAGACCTAAGGAGACCCATTTGTGCTCTGCTCAAAAAAAGGATGCACGTGTTGGCACCGACTACTAGGGGCTCCTGGCCTTACGAACGGAGCGATCAGACGCGAACGGAGCTCCGACACCAAGGAGATGACTCCTTGCAGCGGTGCCACCTGCGACTTCGGCACATATCGGCCAAAGGACCGGAGCAGTTCATGCCCAGCAGGTGAAGTTTGGTCCATGGAGGAACCTTGGACAGTTTGATAAGCTTTAGCTTAGGTAGTAACAAGTGCCACGCTAGTAGTAACAGGTGCCTTACTACTAGTGAACAAGAAGCTAGTAGTAACAAGTGCCTTACTACTAGTGAACAAGAAGCTAGTAGTAAAGAGTGCCTTACTACTAGGAACAAGAAGCTAGTAGTAACAAGTGCCTTACTACTAGTGAACAAGAAGCTAGTAGTAACAAGTGCCTTACTACTAGTGAACAAGAAGCTAGTAGTAACAAGTGCCTTACTACTAGGAACAAGAAGCTAGTAGTAACAAGTGCCTTACTACTAGTGAACAAGAAGCTAGTAGTAACAAGTGCCTTACTACTAGGAACAAGAA